CAATCTCCGGGTTGTACAGTGGATGGTCCAAAACCAAGGTAGCCGTTATCTAACTTCAGCAATGACGCACCGTGCAGCTTCTCTGTTATACGAGGAGAGATAACACTGATCTCCCAAGGCGTTCGATCTCCACTGACTGCATCTGACCAGCGCGTTTTTAAGTCCTCCAATAGGGGAAAGTGAGGACGCCTCTCAATTCTGTCTCGAAGCATGTCGAGTTGGAGAAGTCTTATCCATGCGTCGAGCACGCTTTCATCAGTTGGGTAAAGTTTGTTGGACCATCCACTGGGTCGATGTTTCTCCAGAAGCTCAGCGACTTGTGCGATATCCGGCGGGATCGGTGCGCTTCCAGTGACAACTCTCGCGTGGCGAATTCCTGTGACGTCTAACCGATGGGGTGGGACATAGATGTACTCGCTTCGTGAATTCGTTGCTGCTTGCGTCAAGGGGAGGCGTACTGATTTGGGAGGCGCAGATGACAGATCCAAAACCCAGGAAGCAAGGGTTGCACCTGTCTCATCAGATCCTCGGGGGACACAGAACGGCAAGAGATCCAGGCGTTCCGTGATATGCATGTAGCTTAAGCAAAACCCTTTGTACACATCCTGGTAAGATCTGGTGTAATCGGGTTTGATACGAGCGGCTAGCTGTGGTGGCGCCAAACTCAACAGGCCGTAGATCTTATCGCGCATGTCGAAACACTGACGAACACGGCTTTGACCAAGAAGCTCAATGAGTATTGTGTGAGAACGAGTCAAGAAACCCACCCAGTCCATGCGTGTGCCAAGCCGTACTGGAACATGTTCAGCTTCCAAAAGCGCTTCTGTCGCTCTCCGAAGTTCAGACAAAGTCAGGGTGCCGCCTCCACATTGCATCAAAGAATGTTGGCTCGCTAGGCGAAGCTCTTGGACGATCCACAGTCTGTCGAAGTAGGGACGAAAGAAGAGGGCTACGAGTTTGACCCATGTCTCATCGTCTAAAGGTAGTTTGTCAATGCGAGGACGCCAGTTGCTCTTGTTGTTCGTCGAGCGGAAGACCCAACCATCGTCCGAGACCTCCACTAAACTTGTCAGATGGCTTAGCGCTGCAAGTGCTTGATCACTGCTCGGGGTAGACGTCCCCAGCCACGCGATAACTCTTCTTGCTTGACTGTATATCATTCCCATCCGAGTCACCTCCCGGCTACGCTCTGCCATGTTGTGCTGGTTGATGCAAATTGCATCCACCCAAAGCACCCGATGTTCATCGACTAGACGCAAATGACGCAGTGCATCTGCAAGATTTCGGCGAACCTTCATTGAAAACATTACCCGCTCTTCAAGCGGTTTGGAAAGCGCAGTGTCATCTTCGTATACAAATACAGACACCAAGTCATCTGGTGAACCCCAAACGTACGAAAGCGCCTCGTAATCGGGCTGCAAGTTATCTCGAGTATCTTCAACGGGCTCTTCATATAGCCTTGCATCGACAGCTGCATTTGGGTGCTCATATTGCACATCGTAGCCTGATGCAAAGAAATGTTTACCCTCCGGATTTGTAAACACCTCCCAACCGTCTGGCAGCTGCTCCCTGAGTTTGATCTTAGATTGGAGTCGTGCCTGCCATCGCGACTGCATATCCTGGGGAAAGAGTGGTGTGTGGTCCAGAATAATGCAAATATCGTCAGCAATGTTGCCGTTTGCAGGAAGTAGCCGGAGCAGCCTTATCTCGTTCTCGCGCAGGTCGGAGTAAGTGTAAAACGCCATGCTGTAGTGAAGGTGTATCATTCATTAGCCCGTACGTCGCTCGTTTCAATGGCCGATTGTACAAGCGGTCAAAGGAGTTTCGATGCTGAACGTGATATTCGATGAGAGGAGTTTAATGGAAAAAACTAGGCAGCAAGCTGTGAAGAGTGACAGAAAGGAAACAGCTGGAACTCAGCCTCGTGCGGGGTATCGTCAATGATCCTGAGATTATCTAGGCGACACTTACCCTACAGACCGGGCTCGTGCCCCACCAACACCATGCTCACCACCACAAAGATGAGGTTACCCAGGTATTGTGAATACTACCCGACGCTCCTCCTTCTCCTGATATTGGAGAAGCTTGGCAGCAGCTTGAAACTGCTCTCTAGAGGATTCTTCAGCAGCCGCAGCCTTATCTAGCTGTTGCTTTTTAGCCTTACGTTTACTTGCTTCCTCAGACTTAGAGGGCGATTAGAAACTATAGGTAGATATCCTGTCGGCTTATAGAGTAGCTATGGCCATAGCTCTAAGTTTCTACGCCGTAAAAACTACCACAGCATCTCGACTTGTAATGTCTCTCTCCTGGTCGTTATTACGGCCCACAGTATTCACTGCAACACTACACCGCATAGGCCGAGACAACATGCCACGCCGAACACATCGATCATTCGAGCCGCACCAACTCTGTACCTTCAATGCTGCGACAATTGTCCCGTGCCTTGAATCGAAGACCAGCTATGAGGAATCGTGTTGGAAGAAATTTGATTATCAAGCCGGGACAATTCTGCCGCATCTGCTAGGACGATTTCGGCAGTGTAAAACCTAAGATAGGTGTATACGAAATCGCCAGCCAACCTGGCCTACTAGAGTGTCCCCACGTCTCCAGCCACGCCTGATAGCTGGCACTTCTCACGTCACATATCAGCTGCAGTCTGTATTGCCATGAGCAGTAGTTTATTTCGCATGCGATGGAAGATCGAATTGTCAATAACAGGTATGAGCTCCAAGACGAAGCATTGCTTGAGCTGGCGAGCATGTTATCGATCTCGCTGAGCGCTGTCATGCTTCTCTAGGCGGAATGAGGTTTTCATGGATACAATGCAACGATCTGACACTAATGCGACATGTTTAGAACCCGTGCCAGTTGCTTCAAGGAGAAGAGGAGGTCTAGGCTTGACAGCACATATCTGGTCTGACAGTTGTCTCGAAAATATGATACATGAGATGTGGTTAACATTGAAACTATGGTAGCAAGTGAGGATGACATACACCACATCGTCGCGTGATAGCGCGCATCAACCTACCCGAAGGATGGTCTAGGCGATTACGCTGTGTTCGTCCTCTCTAGCGTAAGCGCTGTGCGCCACGTACAGACTCCGTGACGGAGTGCCATTCTGTCATGATGACTCAACTGACAGTTGTCATCACCATAGAAACTGTTCTCTGATACAGCTTGGTTGAGAACATGTAACAGTTCGCTCCCAGATTCGCAGTCGGTCTCGGCAGGTACAAACAAGCAAAACTTTGGACCCGTATCGGACCATGAAGAGGAACGAATAGCAAGCAGATAGTCTCCAGTCCTATTGTCCTTCCCCCATGATGCGGGTAGACATTGATCTTGATTGTTCAAGACGGTAGCAGTCCAGAAGAGCCCATTGTCAAGGCGGACGCGACATACACCTCCAGTACCTTGACTTCTTCCGGTTGCAAGTCCACTAAGGATATTAGATGCCTTCTCTGTTAGGTTGCTGTCTGCAAATGGTACCCACTCGAGGCCTCCCTCTCCTCGTTTTGGTCGCAGAATCAAATTTGTGGATTGTAGAGCGAACCATGCTGATTCTCTGCCGTGAATGTTACGAACTTGCAGTATGGCTGTCATAAGGTCTTCCGTGTTGGAATGCTTAGAAATAGGGAGCTGCTCTTCTTCCCATATGTTGCAATGTAATACTCGCTTAATCTGCCATGAAGACTGGCTGCAGTAAGTCTTGAAGTAGAATGTGGCTCGCATGGCATGTGCCAGACCAAGGCCCCAGACCGATTGATTGCGCGTTCCCCAAATAAATGCGACATCATTCAACTGTTCTCTAGATATTCTGATAGAGTGATTTTCTAAAATTGACTTCAATGATCGATCTTCGTTCGAGAGCATGTCCTCTTCCGAAAAGGTAGCGGCTGCGCAGTGATCGTGATATCGAAACTCGAGCTGTACGATATTGGCATGACGCATGCTGCCAAGTGCAGTCCAAGAAGGCGAATCTGGGTGACCGACTGCCCAGCGAAGGAACGGATGAGATGTTGCGTCTTTGAGAAACACTGGTTCTGTACTTTCTTGTCGCTGGGATCGATTGCGTTCAGCCACAGTGCCGTCGATCTCTATTCCGTCTAGATCTTGGGAATCGAGCGCTGAGCTGGAAGTGGGACAGAGCGAAATCGAGTGGCGGAACCGATCTGTAGAAACCGGAGAAACAAAACGAAAGCTAGTCCTTGAATTCGCGATGAGGTTCCTGACAGTTGTGCGATATATATCCCGTGCCCACGACCAGATGTAATCAACGATAAGTAGCAATTGTAGCGCCCCATCCTGTGACTGTATTGTCCCTTGCCATAGATCATAGATTCTCTAGAACGATTGGCACGGTCAGCTCAGCCACCCGCTAAGGTTACAAGACAAGACTCACCACTTTGTCATGATCTAGAGTGCCTGCATGTAATCGCCATTGCTCACCTTGATACGCGAAGAACCAGACCAAGCAAGGCTCACAAGATGTGTCACGACTATCAATGTCAGACTGAGCCTTCAAAAATCGTCGAACAGGAAAAGCGGTCTGGTACTGGATCGATCGAAACCCTGGGGCGTCCTTCTCCTTCTTCGCTTCAATGACGAGAAACGGTAGGAGTAAGTCGTGTCTGTTCTTCGCCGGAAAATGAGTTTCACTCCATGCTACGGATGATGGTTTACGTAAACCTATCACGGCGTCTGGTCGCATAGAAATTCTTGAAGCGTCAAGATGATCTCCAGGTGCGTGGGTTATAGTCTCCTCCCTTACTGAGCAAAAGATAGATCCGGCTTCTTCGTTACTACTTTCTCAGCTCATAGTCGATAGGACGACTGGAGACGACTTACTCATCTTTCATCTGTCCCTGGGGCCGCCTACCATTGCAAGCGCAAAGCCTTCTCATGTTTCGTCTAGCATCAAGCCTACTCTGAAGCTCCTTGTTAGAAGAAACCGCCTCATAATCCGACTTCAACAATTCATTGTTGCATTTTTCACTTGTTCAAGTCAGCTCAGCCATGTAAAAGTCCGTCTGGTCTGCGACGTACCATATGACTGGGTCGTCAAATATGCCGAATATAGGGTCTTCAAGCTTGCGCCATGAAGATTCGTTGGGATTAATATCCTTGAGTAGATATCGGACTTTCTCACGCAGTTCCTTGACGCGTTTCTGGTAACCCACTTTATGACTAGTAGGAATGCGCTCGGTATCTTTGTAGTCTTCATAACGCAAGAACTGGAGTGCGCGTATGACTTCGAAGTTGTGTTTGTACTCATTCGGCCATGCTGATGGAGGTACCGGTCCAGGAAATCGAATGCCATGACTATGGGCTTTCTGGCGCAAGTCCACCGGCGAAAGTTGATCTTTCTTTGGTGGCATGAGCGATGTTGGATTGACCACTTTCACGAGTGTGGGGCATGGGCGACATTCACGCGTTCACCAGAAGACAAATCGTATTGTAGCCGAGGGACCGACGGGTGCTAAAGTAGCTGAGGGTACCCTAGCATGGTGAGCCCGTGCCCAAAGATTCTCGGTTGCGTAGATGGTGCCACGCTGAAGCGCTTAAACCTTGCCGACGAGGCTGAGCAACGGTCCACACCTGGATCCTGGTCGCACCGCTCCGGATACATACACCGTATCTTTGCAGATTGTTGACTGTAATCCTTTCTTTCCGGTAATGCCGTTTTGTTACGTCAGTCGCTCCGTTCTACGATCGGAGTCAGGTAAACGTCGAATGAGAAGATGCACTCTTTGCAACCCTTCGCTTGGACACAGTGATTCACTGCATGCATCAAGCTTGCGGTAATCGAGCAGAAGTTTCTGAGCAAAAGTTCCTGAGCATTCAGCAGCGAGTCTAAGAAGAGCTTTATCGTTGCTTGAAATTGCCTCGTAAGAGCGGCGTTGATCGAAAACAACATGCACGCTTGGTGACAGATCCATGCTTCAAGCTGCCGCGGATGTCGTCTGGGCATGAATGCTGAGCTAGGGCCCGGACCGGGCTGTGCTGCTTTCTTGTCTTGTCGTAAGACCATTGCATCGGGTGTCAATCCTAACCAGACTTGTGAGGGAAGGCTTCTGATAGTCTCAGCCGCGGGCGTGGCACTTGCCCAGGATGTTGCGTCAGAAAATTAATAATGGAACGTGGCTGGTTCTTAGACTCGTCTGATTGGTTCCACGTTCGTTATCAATCTGTGCGGCACGGTTGTTCCAGCGGCTCGGCTGCTAACCCGCATGCCACGAAACCACAGAGTCCCGCCTACAGCGCATTTCAAAGGATCGATACTAAGTCCATGTAGGATGTCATGCCACCAAGGTAACAGGCTGCAGTAAGCTGAAGATCAGTTAGGCTTGGTTCATTTTACAAGTTGCCTAGCAGAAGTGCGTCAGCAATAGTATCCGCGATCCCAGCGAACTCCTGAACGTGACTTTCATTTTAACAAAGTACTAATGCTTTGACTACGTAATCTTGCGGCGTTTTGATCGATTTTTCCTGTGCAAATCCTTGGTATCCAACCATCGTCTTCTTTTTGGGGAATGCGCGTAGACCTGGAAGAAGAGGCAACTTGACAACTCCCGGACCTGCTATCGGTTTTGAACTGGTCATTTCCATATCTGCTCCACTGACCGCTGATCCTGCTACAGGCCATATGAGTTCGAAGTTACTGGCGCTTAACAAGGACTCCGCGCGAACCTCTACTGCCAATGTGAACACGGGCTTTAACGATGATCGCAGTTTCTTGATCGCTTTGCTTTTAGACTTCTTTTTGAGGAAAAGCTTGATTGTATGTGTAAGGCGCTTTCTGAACCAGAGTTGCTAACAATCAATCCAAACTGATGAGACTGACTGACTGACTGATTGCTTGGCAGTCAGTTCAGTGTCAGTTTAGAGCTCTCGTCTTATCAGTCAGTTCAGTTTAGAGCTCTTAAAC